TTTGTTAAATTGTTACAGATAACTTTAGCACTTTATTATTATTAAGGCTAAGCTTAAGACTAAAGAAGATTAAAAAGAGAGCTTAGTCATTTTTGTAGTGATAGTTTATCATTGTAGTTAAAGCAAGTTGAGTTAAATGTCTGTTAAATTTAATTTTTAGGCCCACCTAAAAAACGGATCAGACCCTGCTTACAAAGCTTAGAATATTAAGTCCCAGTAATTTGACAAAAGAATAACTCAGTGAACCACAGGTAAAATTAATACAAGAATATTTTTATAGCCAAGTCTAAATAAAATGTGGGTTCACTAAGATGGCTTAAAAATCAGCTAGATTAGCTGCACAAATAAAACTATATTAACTAGTACAATACATGAATATTTGAGGTTTTAAAGAGAAAACAGGACAAGAAATCTCCAAAATAGTTTTGACATGCATAGGTATAAAAAACAGTATGCATATATTTAAAGTAAAAATCTTTAATCGCAGAGTGGGGGAAGTTGGTCCGTCTCCATTTTGTAACAATATGTACAACAAAAGGCTAAGAAAGTCCTAATAAAATATCACACTTTGATCTAACCCCCTCCACACTTCATTATTTTAGAAATAAAAAATTTAATTCATTTTATGTTACAAAATGGATTTTTTAATTAAGTCTAAAAATTCAAATTGCTTAATTTCATTTTCAAAAATAATTTAAAATGCTAAAGTGTGACACTATCTGCATTACCCCTCCCCCTTTCACAAAGGTCCAAACCTAACTCCCCTGATATATTTCATTCATTGACACCCCTCTAACTAAATTATCCTGCAAATATTACAACAAGCTCTTAACAAAACTATAATTAAACATTTTTAAAAATTACACAAGGTATATTTATATTTAAATTGCAGTTTGATGTCTCTAAATATAAATTGATAAAATCTCTAGGATACTTAATCTTAACATTTTTGAAAATAAGTTACACATATTTTAATTACAAACTATTAAGGTTAAACTGTATAACCGTGCATTCAATCTATTTTGGGGGCCATTATCAAGTTAATTTCCACATCAGGAATTGAGGTTGTCTAATTTGATAAAAAAACTCATTAATCTCCCAAGGTATCCTAGTTAATTTAGATATACACTTTACAAGCTTAAAGTGATCTAGGCACAGGACTAATCTATCCATACAGAGCAAGAATAAATGTAAGTTTCAATCTACCAAGGTTTTAGTTTAAAGTTCAAATGTCACTGGGCCAATTCTAATACAACTATAAATAAAGTAGGACAGCTTATGCATTAAATCACAGTACAGTATCAAAGTACAATATTTGTAGAGTTATTTACCATCACACTGTTATGTTTGTAGTAACTGATGAAAAACATATTACAGGGCTCATTTTAGAAACAATTAATTGGTCCTGTTTTTTTTTGTGCATATGTATTATGTATCAAAAAGCTATTTAGAATCAGTTATCTTGTAGATTTAAATCCATTTATCATGTTGACATAAGTCCTTAATAATTATATCAGTTAAAATAATTCAGTGTTTATGCTAATGCAATCTCAACCTAGTAACTGTAGTTTTAAGGTGAAAATAACTTATAAGTTTTTTAAAATAGTTATTGTACCACTACTATTACATTAATTATGAGAGTATACATTTTTTTAGTTTTTTTTTTACTTTTATTGAAAATCTGATATTAAATATTTAATAGACAATCCGGCCAATAAGTATTTTATTATAATTGTATGAAATAAAAAATTCAAGTTTTGTAATAAATAAGATTACCATGAATTGAACTATCATTATTATTATATATTATAAATACTTATAAATATTTAAATAATCTGTATATATAATTCTCTTCTGGGAGCCGCTAGAAAACAAGCTGCAAACGCGCTCCCTACCTCCCCACCCCTACATGGTTTTAGTGAGCTGTGTTCACTCTAAATGTTTACAAGCAGAGCCAAGGATTTTAAACGTAGGGGGGTGGGGGAGGATGAGGGGGGGGGGGGGGGGGTTATGGTCCTTAACGAGCTACTTATAGTGTTTTAAAGAAATATTTTCAGTGGCAGCGTTGGTACTGTCGAATTCACAAATTTTGAATTACTGAAAAGTAGAAAAAACAACAACTAAATAGCGGCGTATGTTATGCCGCAGGCCGGCTCGTTTAGTATATTCCTAGATCTATTCTTTATCTAGATCTAGACCAGACCTAAGCATAATATACATCAAATTATAATTATATAGTGAATTATTATTATTGATGTATTTAAATGTATTAGATTTTAGATCTAGATCACTCTACTTACTACTTTAACAATATTAAAGATCTAAGTTATACGAGGCCTAAATTTTTCTTTCTATAGTATAGGCCTATATAATACTATATATAGAACTAGATCTAGAATTCATAATTATAATATATTTAAATATAGATCTAGATTTCTAGATCTAGAGCGGGCCTGTCCTATTGACTCTCGATTGTCTATCTATACTCAGTCTATCTATGCAATTAACCTAGAGTCTAGATTCTACCTACAGAATAGAGATCTAGGCTAGGTTTTAATATTGAATTAAATATAGATCTAATACTGATATTAATGATATTAGGCCTAATATTATTTATTAAATTATTAATATTTTAATTTAATTTTATAGCCTAAATCTGTTATTTTATTATTTAATCTGTTGTATAAAACACGTTGTTGACCATGAGTGTTATACTTAATTACTTATAGATAGAGTAATATAGATCTCTAGTAGTAATATTATAATATAGAGCCAAGTTCTAGATCTAGAGATCTACCAGTCTACTAGGCTAGCAGACAGGCAGTAACAAAACCGAGCAACTCGGTCTTAGTATCGATCTTCTATTCTATGTTTACCTTTCTGTGGAGATTTCCGACTAGAAGGTTTTGCCTGGGCCATAGTTCTGTTTATCCCTAACAGCTATCGAGTTCACTGCACTGTGCTGTTGGCCTTAACCAACTCAGCTAAACAGGAGAGAAAGGGAGAACTATCTACATCAGAGCGACGATTCAATAGATTCTCACCCAAAACAAGGTCAATACTGGCTGCTTTTGCTTCCGGATAAGGTCAAATTTTCAACCGAGGTCAAAGGTTGTGTATAATTTCAGTTCAGTTCGCGTGAGCAGTTTTAATGCAGTGTTTGTTTTTCACCGACTTTCCCATTTTCTATTTCTGTTTATACTTTTTGGGTATCAGCCAGCTCGGTCCCTCCCAAAAACTACACAGTTAAGAAAATTTGGCAAAATAAAGTTCGTGTTAGGCAACGGGGAGTAGCAAAGTGAGAAGCAAAATGGCGAAATTCTAGCGAGACAAAAAAAAAAGCGGAATTAGCTAAGAGGGAGAACGATTATGCGATCAATATGAAACCAAATAAAAGTGAAATACCTTGTTATCAGCGGGGTTTTTTCCCATCAATACAAAGAAAAATGTCATCGCATGATTAGCCGTCTTTAATTTGTTTTCTAATATCCAAGCGGTTCAAAGGACAATGTCGGCGATTTTAACAAAACAAGCAGTAAAATTACTAAAAGTATGAGTTCTAAGTTCTTTCTATCGCTACGTTTGCTGTGTGAATTAGTCAAAACTATTTTACTCTGATCAAGCGTTGGTCTAAATTCTATATCAAATTTGGTTTTTCTTTTGAAATAAATAAAAAAAATGAAATAACGTGTGGGCGGTTAATGTATACATTTTACTCGATGTGTAGGGACGTACACATTTTACCCCGGTTGTAAGGATGTACACATTTTACTTGTGTACGGATATATACATTTTACTCAGGATGTAAGATTGTACACATTTTACTCGAGGTGTAGGGATGTACACATTTACTCATGATGTAAGATTGTACACATTTTACTCGATGTGTAGGGATGTACACATTTACTCATGATGTAAGATTGTACACATTTTACTCGATGTGTAGGGATGTACACATTTACTCATGATGTAAGATTGTACACATTTTACTCGATGTGTAAGGATGTACACATTTTACTCGATGCGTAGGGATGTACACATTTCCCCGGACCTATCACCAGCGCTAGAACTAAATCAATAAGTCACCCTCCAAGTTAACATGGAGTAAAAATAGAACCAAAGTCTTTGGCCAGAAGTGGTTTTAACCAAAGTATGATGTTAGAGAAGTGGTTTTAAGCGAAGGACGAAGCCAGAGGTGGCTTTAACCAAAGTCTGGCTAGAGGTGGCTTTAACCAAAGTCTGGCTAGAGGTGGCTTTAACCAAAGTCTGGCTAGAGGTGGCTTTAACCAAAGTCTGGCTAGAGGTGGCTTTAACCAAAGTCTGGCTAGAGGTGGCTTTAACCAAAGTCTGGCTAGAGGTGGCTTTAACCAAAGTCTGGCTAGAGGTGGCTTTAACCAAAGTCTGGCTAGAGGTGGCTTTAACCAAAGTCTGGCTAGAGGTGGCTTTAACCAAAGTCTGGCTAGAGGTGGCTTTAACCAAAGTCTGGCTAGAGGTGGCTTTAACCAAAGTCTGGCTAGAGGTGGTTTTAACCAAAGTCTGGCCAGAGGTGGCTTTAACCAAAGTCTGGCTAGAGGTGGCTTTAACCAAAGTCTGGCTAGAGGTGGCTTAACTAAAGGACGATGCCAGAGAAGTTTTTAACAAGTTTTCATCCATAGTACAATGTCGGTATTTACAGAACTATGAAAGAAATGGCTATAGACAGCTGGAGCAGTAAAACAGTCTCCAACAGCTGCTAAATGGTAGATGAAATATGTTTATATTTCTATAGGCAAACATTCGTTTTAAAGCTGTATTTGGCCCATTATTTCAAGATTTTTAAAAACAAAATCTGGAGTCTAGGCCAGATAAACCGACAAACAACTGGACGTTTTCCAAGCTAAGATAAAGCCACACGTTTCTTTAAAAACTTCGTGTTTTTTGCCTCATAGCTCTGAACATCCAGCACATTGAACAGGGGGGGGGGGCAGTGTCCAGCAGTTGAAAAATTAAAAAGTACTTACGTCCTGAGCGGTCAGCGACTCGCGGGCTCCCTGGAGGGCTCAAACTTTTCTGAAATAGAGGAGAGAAAAGAGCATCAGAGCACGGTCGTGTGGCGCGTGTGATGACGGAAGCAACACAGCTGTGCATGTCCTGCTACACACATGCGTCACACGGGACACGGTGTCCTCTCTATGACTAAGCGTAGAAACCCTACCAGATCAATACTAAACAAATACACTGGAGCCAGAGTTGATATTTCTTCACGGCCTAAATGTGATGCTGACACACGGATAGTGTACAACTTACTACAACATGCTAGAATTTAACGTCACAAGTACACCGGCGTCGACAGTACATCGAAAACATTATCGTCTTCAGCTAACTATCCATCCTTTAGAAAAATAAAGTTATTTAGGTCTAGTCAATAGGCAAACTAGTTCGATGACGATAGTTGTTATAGTTAGGAAAACAACAATGTAGGTACAATAGACCTGAAAAGATTATGAATCGACCGTCCTTTGTTTACTAGGATTTAAATAAAACTGGCTGCTGTTTGGTAACACGCCGATAATGCATGCATTACACTACAGCATGCATTACACTACAGCATGCATCAGAGCATGCATGCGTTGCACTCGTTAAAAGATTTCCAAGACACCTGCTTGAAGTAGCAGAGTGGGGGGGGGGGGGAGAGATTGGGGGGAGAGATTGGAGTGGGTTGGGAGAACAGCGACCATGGATGATGGAATATCTGCAGCAGCATTGATTGTTTGGTACATGACACGGTCTAAGTCTCAGCTCACATTTCCACGTCCAGATTTTCTTGCTAGTCTCGTCATCATGTAGTAGCCTGATAACTTGGATCTGCTGGACGGGCAGGGGAGTGGGGGTCAAAGCTGAGGTCATATGCTAGGATAATCTCAGGACTAGGATAATCTTGGGATTATAATAACCTCAGGATAATCTCAGAATTAGGATAATCCCAATCCAAACTGAACTGACATAGATCTACTTGAGAAATGGATTTACCTGTGATTGTAGAGGTCGCCTGGGTGACCTCATGGGCTTGGAGTCCGAGTTTGACCTTGCCCTGAACTTGCTCATGAAGCCAGCATCCCTGACCACAGACGGCCCTGACTTGTGCCTGGTCCTCTCCTCGTCCGGCACGTTCAGCATCTGACCCTCCAGTATCTGACCCATGGGGGTCAGCAGCTCCTGGGACCCCCCATACACCCGATTGTGGTTGGAGCTGGAGGAACTAAGGACCGTCTCATCCACGGAGTGTTCTGTCTGGATGGCGGGCTTTTTAATGTTGGGTTTTTTCAGACCAGACACGTCGGATTTGGAGCGGGGTCGAAACGACTCAAAGAAACCTTTCTTCTTGTCCTTTTCTTTGTCTTTGCTCTTCTCCCTGTCCTCCCGTTCTGTGGACTTGTTTCGGTTTTTTGATTTCCCGCCAAGAAAACCCTTGAGAGCCGTGGAACCAGAAGACGACCGAGCTCGGCCTTGGAAGTCGTTGGCGTCTGCCATGTTGGAGTCTACAGCATCAGGTTCTATCAGCGGCATGGCAAAGGCACTTAAGTCCTGGAACAGTAGAGTACAGAGGGTTAAGGCAAGTCCTGGAACAGTACAGTACAGAGAGTTAAGGCAAGTGATGGAACAGTACAATATACAGAGTTAAAGCAAGTGATGGAACAGTACAGTACAGAGTTAAAGCAAGTGATGGAACAGTACAGTACAGAGTTAAAGCAAGTGATGGAACAGTACAGTACAGAGTTAAAGCAAGTGATGGAACAGTACAGTACAGAGTTAAAGCAAGTCCTGGAACAGTAGAGTACAGAGTTAAAGCAAGTGATGGAACAGTACAGTACAGAGGGTTAAGCAAGTGATGGAACAGTAGAATACAGAGTTAAAGCAAGTGATGGAACAGTACAGTACAGAGGGTTAAGCAAGTGATGGAACAGTAGAATACAGAGTTAAAGCAAGTCCTGGAACAGTAGAGTACAGAGGGTTGAAGTAAGTCCTGGAACAGTAGAGTACAGAGGGTTAAGGCAAGTGATGGAACAGTACAATATACAGAGTTAAAGCAAGTCCTGGAACAGTACAGTACAGAGGGTTAAGCAAGTGATGGAACAGTAGAATACAGAGTTAAAGCAAGTGATGGAACAGTACAGTACAGAGGGTTAAGCAAGTGATGGAACAGTAGAGTACAGAGTTAAAGCAAGTCCTGGAACAGTAGAGTACAGAGGGTTGAAGTAAGTCCTGGAACAGTAGAGTACAGAGGGTTAAGGCAAGTGATGGAACAGTACAATATACAGAGTTAAAGCAAGTCCTGGAACAGTACAGTACAGAGGGTTAAGCAAGTGATGGAACAGTAGAGTACAGAGGGTTAAGGCAAGTGATGGAACAGTAGAGTACAGAGGGTTAAGGCAAGTGATGGAACAGTACAATATACAGAGTTAATGCAAGTCATAGAATGTACAATACAGAGAGTTAAAGTAAGTCCTGGAACAGTATAATACAGAGGGTTAAAGTAAGTCATAGAATGTACAATACAGAGAGTTAAAGTAAGTTATATATTGTACAATACAGAGGGTTAAAACAAATGGTGGAACAGTCAAAGACACAGAGCTAGGCAATTATTCATTTATAGTTAGCGAGTTATACTAATTTTAAAGTGTTTACCTTCAGTAACCCTAACCATGGGTGTTCATCTAAACTAACTAACCCTAACCCTGGGTTAACATCTAAATTACCGCCCCTGCTATCACAGTTTGACAGGTTAATCTCAGCACACGATAGCCAGACGACAGCAGAACCCCAGGCTAACTTCTGGTTCGATAAGGTGGGGTAGAGTTCTTGTATATGGCACCCCCACACATGTGGGGAAACGTTCACACATCACCCACACACATGTATGGATACGTTCTCACAACACAGGGACACCCACACACACACAACCACACACATGTAGGGATACGTTCACACATGATCCACACACATGTAGGGAAACGTTCTCACAACACAGGGATACCCACACACATTGCAGTGACACCCACACCCACAGCCACACACATGTAGGGATACGTCCTAACGTTACAATGACACACATACAACCACATTATTCTCACATTAAAGAAGCCCCCCCCCCCCAATGGTGTAAGAACACATCGAATGTCTGAAATATCAATATCATACAAGAACCATCTAAACGCCCCCAGAATATGCGGTCATGTTTAACACAGGTACTCTCATGTCAGTGCTGTCATTTCAGTACTGTCTTGTTAGTACATTCATGTCAGTTCTGTCATATTAGTACTGCAACTCTAATGACAGACATGACCATCAAACCCTGGCGATCCTAATATTCAGCGTTTTGTCATTGTTCTGGAGTGTCATTTGGGCTACAGTTATGGTTAAAATGGCGTGGGGGTGTGTGGTGGCACTAGTCGTCATAGTTCTTATGCCTGGGGGGGAGGGGGGAGACTATAGTAATGGTTTTATGACAAGTGAAACGTATCTTCATTCTCTCCACAGTTTAATTATTTCTTTTATCATTTAACATTACCTAAAAAAAAACCAACAATATATCAGAATTAGGCTACTACACGTGTAGATAGTGTGTATATCTGCAGCATGACACGCAGTGAAGTCATCTCTCCTCTTCAGGAGGATGCTACTTCCCCAACCCCGCCCCCTCCATCGTACCCTGAAAATACGTGTCCATCCAACTGTGACTAGTTAGGACGACTGTGTTTTAGTTTAGGTAGTGTGGATCATAGGTCATAGCTACAGGAGTAGGTCCTTGATAGTTAGGTCCCTGTCAGTAGTGTGGATCATAGGTCATAGCTACAGGAGTAGCTATGGGACAACAGGTCCCAGTCCTAGCACAGGTCCCTGTCACTCAACAGTTGCCTGTCCTAGCACAGGTCCCAGTCCTAGCACAGGTCACTGTCATTACAACAGGTCCCAGTCCTAGCACAGGTCCCAGTCCTAGCACAGGTCCCAGTCCTAGCACAGGTCCCAGTCCTAGCACAGGTCCCAGTCCTAGCACAGGTCCCAGTCCTAGCACAGGTCCCAGTCCTAGCACAGGTCCCAGTCCTAGCACAGGTCCCAGTCACTACAACAGGTCCCAGTCCTAGCACAGGTCCCTGTCACTAGAAAAGGACCCTGTCACTAGAAAAGGACCCTGTCACTAGAAAAGGACCCTGTCACTAGAAAAGGACCCTGTCACTAGAAAAGGACCCTGTCACTAGAAAAGGACCCTGTCACTAGAAAAGGACCCTGTCACTAGAAAAGAGAGATTCCTGATCTTACAAACACCAGGAAGAATAGGGCCCCTGTAGTGATGTGTACCTGCGCGTGTACAGGTGCGTATAGACTGTTTACATACACAATTCTTGTGTGACATTTCTGTAGCTGAATAACAACATTCACATTTCATACCTTGTGTAACCTAATGTGACAGTTAACTAATTTACGTTAATGCACATCAGCTTAAAGTCACATGCTAACTTTCATCATCGGAACCCCGCCCCAAAATATTTGGAACCTAGAGTTAAAAAATGTCAGTAAGTATCTGAGCCTGTTTTGTTTGCGCTTTGCTTGTAGGAGTGCAAAGATTCTCACCTCGGAGTCTGCGGTTCGAACATCATCAGGGACGAGGCAGGAGCGGACGAGGCTGCGTAGACACGAACACATGACACACGTTTGGGTGGGGCCGGTGGTGAACAGCTTCAGAGAGGCCACAGCCCCACCCCCCATCGTCGTGCCCAGATGGACATGGATTAGATTGTTATGGTGAGTGTGAGTTGCTGGCAACACGCTAAAACACATGGTCTATCATCGCTCCGGGTGTGTAGGGCACACCGTTTGAATCAAGGGGAAACTAGGCCAGCCGTGTTGTGACTTTCTCATGGTGTGTTGGGAGAGTTAGCGTTAGGGACTTGACACATAGTGTGTTAAAAAAAAACTTGACACACTGGTTCACGTGATATTCCGGGCGGGCACCTTGGCCTAGATAAATAACGCCTGATTAAGTTAACTGTATCAAATCACAGGATAACTCGATCGGTTGGACATTTGTACTCAATCAAATCTGGGCCAGTTGTACGGTGTACACAATACGGGCCAGTTGTAAGGTGTACACAATGTGGGCCACTTGCAAGGTGTACACAATGTGGGCCAGTTGTAAGGTGTACACAATGTGGGCCAGTAGTAAAGTGTACGCAGTAGGTTACATAACTTGTCTATTCTGAAGCATAAAAAGTAACCCAGGCCAAATGTACACAGTAAATGTGTTACTACTTGATATAATGGGCACAATAGTGCAAAACTGACGCCAAGTCGTATCACGTGATGTACACAAACAAGCCAGGCCTAATGTACACAAACAACGCAGGCCAAATGTACACAGTAAATGTGTAACTACTTGATATAATGGACACAATAGTCCAAAAACTACATCTAGTCGTATCACGTGATGCAATCCTAACGGTTACACAGCTACTGATCACATGCCTAAAACTAGACCTGCTTTAACTAGACTTTCAAACATTGCATGAAGGCAGATCAGATTAACGGCTAGGTGCCAAATTCATTGATTTTTTTTAGAAACGGGGTGGGGGGGGGGGGGGGGGGGAAGGAGGAAAAAAAGCTGTAACATAAACAATAACAAATCGATTTTTAAAATACTCGGCTAGTTTGACATTACTTAGAGCTGACCCGACACAACACGACCTGACACGGCTGACCCGACACGACACGGAAAGACCACGGCAAGAAGTGAACGACTGCAACACACAACAGTCGCGTCACTCGTGCCCTCGGTAACGAGGGGACAGAACTCCAAACACTACAGGAAATCACAAGGGCCGCAACACACTAGAAATCCACACACTTCTACAGCCCACATTTATCTATGTGCTGCTCCTCACGAGTTTCAATCGATACACAGACGAGGGAGAAAAAAATTCACCAGCGAAGTGTGAGCTGAGCTTATGTCACTCAGCACACCCACCCAACGCTAGAACACGAAGGTAGGCACGTAACGCTACACACCGCAGCCTCAAGGTCAAACTATGAACTCCTCGATAAACACTGCTCAACACGACGTCCAAATGGAATCCTTCGTGCACAAACTAACAGAAATGGCATCACGAATCCTCCTTTTATCCTTTCGACCTACGTTCAACAGCTTAGTTGAGCCTGGGGGCCGTGTTATCACACTCCGCTTATACACCCGCCCGTGTTATAGGTGGCCGGCAGACGACTTGTGCCGCTCATTACAGGTAAGTGTATCGTCGATGTGCGGCAATATCTCGTGGCGCTGTCACTAGTCGCCCGTTATCGGCACAGTCGATATTTGAGACGTCAGCACGCAAACTGGTCATGTACACCACAATGGTAGGCTGTTGGCTGAACCACAGCTTGTGGTCATACTGAATGGTCTGTCATATACACCACAATAGTCGTTTGTTGGCTACCCCCCCCCCCCCACCCCCAACCCAGTGATCACTCCAATTGTGGTCTGACATATGGGCCATATACACATATGGGCCAGATACACATATGGGCCGTAACAC